CCATGGCCTCCTAGTCTGCCTGCTCCGCCATGGCTTCCTAGTCTGCCTGCTCCGCCATGGCCTCCTGACCTCCCTACTCTGCCATGGCATCCTGAACTGTCTGCTCCGCCATGGCCTCCTAGTCTGCCTGCTCCGCCATGACACTCCGAACTGCCTGATCCGCCATGGGTCCCTGAACGGGTACCCCTCTGGAGGCCTGCCGTCCCGTGTCTGTCCTGAGGGGCCTCCAGAGTGCCCATCCCCCCTCCTCGTTGGATGTTGTGGGGCACATGGACGCACCTTCCGGTGGAGTAATGTCAGTCCTGTGTCTTGTGTTTTCCTCCCCCACATGCTCCATGTTATGTTTATGCCCTTATTTGGTCTTCCTGTTCCTGCCCTGATTGTGTTCATTTGTTTCCAGGTGTGTTTTCCCTCATGTCATCATGTTCATTGTTTCCAGGTGTTCCCTCATTAGTTTCCATGATTTAAGCCCTGTGTGTTTCCATGACTAGCGTGCTGTCTTGAATGTCGATCCCATGTCCTACGTGTGATTCCCTAGATGTCAATAAAGACTGTTAATTATGATTCTCCTGCGTTCTCCTCGTTCCTCGCTCCTCACCGTAGGCACACCGTGACACCATCATTTTAATGTTATTATTTAAAAGCTTATGCGAACAATATGTGCACAGTAATGCTAATTTTTGACAATTTGTTAACAATACTGTGATAATATTCATTTAGGTCACTATAATCAGGATATGACATTTTCATACTGTTTTATCTCTATTAAAGAGATAGGAACTAAATCCGTGAGTTTCAAGCAGAGGGTGAAAAGAGGTGCTGCTGCAATGTACAGTATGTGTTGTGTTGTTGTTTTGTTTTGTATTCTAGCAGAACCCAAAAATAAAGTTATGGTCTTGTAAATGAGCATAATATGGGAATATTAAACAGTATTGCTTAAGGAGGTGTGGAACAGAGTGCAGGTTAGGCACAAGAGCAACAAATAGACACAAAATAACACTTTTTCTGTCAGCACTAAGCTCAGCAAAGTTGCAAGATGTGTAAAGAGACACAAAAAAAGGGCAGTAAAAGAGTAATGTGGTCTTGTAAATGTTCACCATGAAAGATTCACATAGTGCTTTTAATTATTAAGTATTAAGTTGAATTATTAAGTGTGTCTGTTGGCTGGTCCATGGTCAGGTGTTGCTCTGTTAGATGTTTGGAAGAGTGAAAGTGCTGGGCTGTTGTGACTCATGTTGGATGCTATGCAATTGTTTTTAATTCTTGCTTTATACTTATATTCAGTAGGTATATTTATAATATATGTCAATAGCAAACTGTTCAAAAGTTTGTGATTAAATGAATGAATGAATGATAATTTCATGAATGTTAATGTGTTAATGTCTCATTGTTTCAGATTGCCCTGCACCATGAAACTCACTGTAGTTCTGCTGCTCTGTGGCTGCTGTATGCTATTTCAACACAACTGTGAAGCCCAAGGTAAATATATTTCATACACTGTTCATTTCTATTTTTTTTTTACTGTATATTATAGGTGAGTGGTGGTTGCTTTTAAAAAATTTTTTTTTTACAGTAATTCAATATACATATAATAACTTCCAAGTTTCAAATATAAAACAAACAGGTTAAATATTTGATTAATTCTGAATAACTTTTCTACACATCCCAAATGCATACATTATTAAAGGGCATTGATATCAGAAATATAATTCTAACCATTTTCATATTTCTGTTTGAAAGTTTTTTAATGAATTTTGAATGTGTAATATAACTTTTAAAAAAATTTAATTTCAACAATATTCTTTACAACTAATCTGCAGTCATTTAACTGTATTATGTATGCTTACTACATAATGATACAGACATCAGCCATTTAAAAATTCATATCACTAAACCACTATCATAGGAAGTCACAATGTGCTGCTTGTGTGTTTGTCAAGTCAAGCCGAATTTATTCTTATAGCTCTTTCACAACACACTGTTTTTAAGCCGCTTTACAGAAAATCATGATGTGAATGTTTATAATATCTTAATATTTTCATGCCTTGTAT